TTGAATTGTTGGAAAAATATGACTCAATTCATCCAAAACATTACAAATTATGTAGATCTGTTACTGGCTTCAATATTTCCATTCTATAACGATTCTTTTAATGGATATTTTGGAATTTAATCACATTTTACAATGTCCAATAAGGGGAAAATGGGACTTTTTTTAATGAAAGTGGAAATTTGCTATTTACAAAACTTGTGAAATGTGGATGCAAATGTTTTACCCGAAAAATTACAATTTCCAAATGATAAGACCTTAAAATAGACATACTTCTGGCAAAAATGTATTTTTTCCGAGAATAATTGGCTTACAAAATTAGTGATATCAGATGAAAAACCTCTAGACGAGGTTAAAATGGAGTGACGCTCCTGTACGTGGATTTACCACTCAAAATGACTGATATCATTTTGAGTAACGCTTCGGCGCTATATTATCTCGGGGTACGAATTTCAAAAGTGTTTTTCGCATCCACTATTGTGAAAATTTATTTACAATAAGGAAAAATATCGCGTCACGACTTTTGGACGGCAAAACGCTTTAAAGCTTGACTTGAAGACTAAATTCAAAAGTCTTGAGGCGATATTGTTCTTTATTGTAAATAAATTTTCACAATAGTGGATGCGAAAAACACTTTTGAAATTCGTACCCAGAGATAATATAGCGTCAAAGCGTTACTCAAAATGATATCAGTCATTTTGAGTGGTAAATCCACGCACAGGAGCGTCACTCCATTTTAACCTCGTCTAGAGGTTTTTCATCTGTAAATTTCAGAGATGGTTGATCGTTTACCGCAAGTGTATGGAAATGTGTATCGGTATATACTTAAACGTTTACCTTTGCGTTGAACGCGCGGAGCACATGCGTCAACTTATATTTTAGTGAGAGCGGACGCGTTATTTAACGCAAAGGTAAATCAATGTAAATATACCGTACTGTACCGAGTACAGTAAATTCAACGAATTGATATACATTTACTCCATCTCTGGTAAATTTTTACAAGAAAATATTTCTAAAGTTTCAAGTGTTTTTTGCATTATTATTTTTTGTAAGTAGACTTATGCCAATAGTTCAAGTGAGGTACAAAGAATATCAACATCGTAGATTTATGACAAAAATAGACTCATGTACTAAATTCTCATCAAATCAATCTAACCTCTGCCACTTGCAGGCGCAAAAATTCACTTAATTTTTCTCCGCATCAGAAGTACGCACAAAATTGATTTTGCAATTCAGTTATTTTCCTTTTCAATGAATTATTATCAATTCTGTGTATAAACGAAAAGAAGAAAATTAAAGTTTCATTGATTTCGTTCAAGAATTTTCAGATGTTGAATTGAATGCCGGTCTAAAAATGATCGTCAATGCATGTGTATGCTAAGATTCAGTTTGACTGCAATAGACGTAGATCAACGAGGGATGAGATTGATATTCGATCAAATTTTGCTTCGACAGAAAAATGGAAAAATTTAATTGCTTCAAGGCACATGTACAATAAAACAAAACATTTCGTCCAAACGTAAGCAACTATTTCTTGCAATTTGGTCTAATCGTTCCTAATGACTGACTGCTAGTTTCAATAGCTGCAACAAACTTGAGAACACAGACATCTGCAGTTTGTGTAATGCTATAAAATGCTTAATAGTTGACGGTTTTTCGACATACCTAAATATGATAAATAACATCTGAGACGACAAATGGCCTGAACCGAGACAAACGTTAATACTAGGGGGAAAGAACTGAGTAAATGAAAATATAAATATTGTAAATAATCGCATATTCTACCGAGTTTGGATCAATACGCGTCAATGCGCTGAATAACTGGCTGGGAATGCATGCAAAAACGGTCAATAAAATGTGCGTATTTTCAACTGTCATTCGTGCTCGCCACGAACGAGACGAAGCAACAGAAGAAAACAACAACAATAACACACGGAACGCAGTGCAAATGCCTGTGAATATTTGTCAATACGTTTCAATAAATTAAATATACCCATAGTTCTTTCCCCTAGCGTTAATAACTAAGATGTACATCCAAGCCGAGACTGAATGTATTAATAATATATAAGAACATCAGCCCAGACGATGTTGCTGTTCTAGAGCTGTCAATATTCATTGGATTTTTCTAATAGATTTTATCTGCTTCATTTGTTCCATTCTCTGTTGATTTTTTAACACACATCCAATCATTTAATCACCGCAAAATGACACTTTGTGGTCTTGCGTTTGCACATGATCTTAATAAAAAGTAAATATTTGCGAAAATATTAACGATGACTTGGAAGAATGTCAGGGAAATACGATACACATGAGGCGTTTAAATGCGTCGATTGAAATGTTCAAGCTCACAACTGCATAACGATCCTGTTTTGCAAACGAAACTGCCATTGCAACTTACTTGACCTAAAATCCAGATTAAAATTGACTCGCAAAACAGAAACCCTTATCAATTACTCAAACCAAAAAAAACCCATCGTAAAAACCCAGCCGACTATCGTCATTAACTTGATCCGTTTGTACCTCTCCTGTTCTTTCTTGGTCTGTTTTTCTCAGAAGTCAGCAGAAAAGAATAAGACGGATTAGGTAATGAGACGATGCATATGTTTACATGACATGCACATTTTCGGAAATAGTTTGCTCTTTATATAAAGCAAGCCACCGATTTAGTTTCAATCAGTTCAAACTTGCATTCCGAACGAATCGTTTCAACTTGTGAAAAGTAAAAAAAACTAGTTCATTGAAATGGCGAAAAATATTTTGGTAAGTTGGAAAATGAAACTATTTTCTATCGTTTGAAAATATCAACTCGAATCCGATCGGTCAAGTGAAGTGTTTATCAACAATTTCTTATGTTGTGTTTTCAATGTTTGTTTTCTTATCGATAGATGACCTTCGCAGTTCTAGCTGTTGCTTTCGCAGCGATTACTTGTGTTCCACAAGGTGGATACGGTGGTTCATCTCCTGAACCAGATAACCCACACGGTTCGTATGGCAGCCACGGACCAACTCAAAATTTAACAAACAGTTTTTCAAGCACAGCTGGAAGAAAGACATGCTTGGTTTTAGTTTAAATTTTTGATCTAGACAAATATTTGTTTTTCTTCTGACTATGATAATATCCAGATGGAGTCAGTTTCTTTGGACACGAGAACACGAGCCCCGACACGAGCACCGTGGGTTCGGTGGGTCCGGTGGGTCCGGTGGAGGAGAATTCGTATTTTCCGACATTGTTTTAGTGAATCAAACTTCAAACCCATCCAATGGATTCGGTGATGGACACGGTAGTTTCGGCTTTCATGAAACGGAGGAAGGAGGTCAACATGGAAACGGGTTCGAATCATAATGTTCACCCATCGAATCAAGGTGGATACGGTATTGGATTGGGCAGTGGATACAAAAACAAAGGATATTAATAATGTTTTTATTTTTTGAGCTCATATGCGCTCCAAATAACAAATGAAAAAAAAAAGTATAATAAAAACTTCGTCTGAGCACGTGATAGTTTATAGAAAACAATAATTTTTCATTTCACTAATATTCATTAAGTCTAAAATCTGACCGATGTTCAAGTTTTTATTCACAGCCTTTTATTATACAAACAGATTAGTCAAAATAGAAAAAGAAAATCTTGAACAAACTTATCAGTTATTGTCACTTTTTATTTCATCGTGAGTCACATGATTTTCTTTCTTCCATTTCTTAGCCGAAAAACATCAATCTAAATTTGATACTATATTATCTGCAAGCTTTCAAATATGCTTCTGACTACAACGACCTATGAAAATGGTTCTGCCGATTCGCTTTGAATTAGTTTTAAATTACACTCTGAGTTATTCGCCGATTTAGTGAGACAAAGCCAATAGGAAACATTTTTAACCAAAATGCTCAAAAATCTTTTCGTGAGTATATAATTTTATAGCCAAAAAGATAATTTCAAATGTATGTGATATTTAATTTAAACATTTTCAATTCATATTCGTTCTCATAGATAATCTTTGCAGTTTTCACTGTATTCTTCGCAGTAGCAATGTGTCAGCCCGTAGAAACACACATATTCAACAAACACAACCACCGGTCACAAAGCAACCACCGAAAAACCTGAAGATCCAATAACTTATGAAACACACATATTTAGGCATCATTAGCACAAAATAACCACCGAAAAATCTGACATTAAATATGCAACACATATTTTCAACCGTAATCATCATGAAATTGATGAGCCATACGATGTACATTCAGAGATAGATTACTGAATGGAAATTAATGACTGTGATGCCGAATATTTAGAAATTGAACCAAATTTATTGCTGAAAATATGCTTGCTTTGACTAAGTTTTTGTGTAGTGTACTACAGAAAAATTGAATATACAATAAATTCCATCGCAAAACGAAAAAAAAAATATTATAGAAATGAAAATAAAAGAAATTGTGCAATAACAATGTGTGACATACTTGACCCCAACGTTTGATTGCATATTTGTTTTAAACACGCAAATTGTTCTTATCAATCCAACTCCCCAAAACAGAAAAATCCCATCGGTTATCTCTATCATTTGATTACATTGCCTTTCATTCTCATTCTCTTCTCTTCCCTTCTCTCTCTCTCTCTCTCTCTCTCTCAAATCTTGTTCCTCGATTCGAACAACATTGAAATGATTCGCTGCGAGTGACGTTTCTATAATCGTTGTGGAAACATTTTCGCTACACATTTGGTTCCGATCAGTTATAATTTATATTTTGAACGAAGTGTTTTAATTGAATGAAAGCCAGCCAAAAAAAAGTTTATTGATCATGTCGAAAAGTTGTTTGGTTAGTAAAGAGTAATCATTGTTTTATCAAAATTTAGAGCATTCAATCATAAAATATTAATGTGAACTTTTGCAAACGAATAAATGAAACATTTTAATTTTGGTTCATTGAAATTAATTCGTCAGCTCTGCCGGAAATCACTGATGTGCCTTCAGATAGAGGACCGTACGATGAAGATCGTGGATTGAAAACGCAGATATTTGGTCGCAAATGGCATACGACCGAAAAAGAGGAATCGCATACAACTACCAATGGATATGACGAACGTGACGATCTATATTCGAGTACGCCAAATGATGAGCAAACACAACTGTTGAATCAGAAACATGTAACCATGGTTGTGCACAGAAAACACTGAAGATATAACGACTACAATGGAAACTGATTATGCGGAAATAGCAACCCCAGTATATGAAACGCACATTTTTAATCATAAAATGCATCATGAAACCACCGAGGAAACGGAAAGTGATGAATATGATTCAAATTCGAAAACTTCGACTGAGGAATACGAAACGGGTCGCGCTTCAAAGCCATCTGAAGGTCATTATGGCTGGGGACTACCAACATCCACCGGAAAATTTGAAGAATATGATACAGATACAGATACATCTTCATACGAAGACGACAGTGACGATTATTAAAATTGAGACGTACGACAAAAATGTGATTAATTTGAATAAAGTAGTGAAACACCGCATGAAATACATACCCTTATCTTGTTTGAATTTGATTATTTGGAAGTATTTAGACAAACAGTCGCTTAATTTGAATTTGATTTGTAATATCAGTTATCATATTTAGAGAACAGTTTGTTTGAACCTTAAAATGTGATTAAATCCCTTGTGCGCATATGCACATCGCCAAACGACCCACAGTAGAAGCTAAATATTGATATAAAATAATCAACTTATCTACCATTGACCTTGATTCTTTTTTGGCTTCTGAAAGCAATTATTTTTATTTGCAAAACAATATTACGAATCTGGCAAAAACGATCCTCACTGGTGTACATTGTACAATTTGATAATTACACAAAATTAGTACAAATTTGACTGGTTTTGATCAGTTTGAATCGACTTTTGAAGTGAAAAAGTCTAAATTTTCGGAGGTGAAGAAGGTCTTAGCAAATAAATAAACGCAAAAAGTTGAAAAAATGGGCAAAACTTGTTTGGTTAGTGAAATTTATTAGTGTGTAAAAAAACTCTCAAGTTAATATATCAAAATTATGTTCATCAGTTGATGTGATTCAATATTCCTTGCCAGTTTTTCTGATTTTAAATCCAGAATTCAAAAAGTCGGCAATATATTTCGCCAATATACTTATATAAATCGATGTGGAAATTTTCCGAAATTATTTTCAGAAGATGAAGTGTTTGATAAAAAAAATGCCCACCTCGGAATATTCTATGGAAAAAAACGAAATCAAAAAATTGTGAACTATACATTGATATCTTCAAGATTAAAAATCATGTGATACACTTGATGCCAATCGAAGCGCAGCTGGAAACAGTCAAATCGAACGCATCCCCGAAAGCTAATCCCGAAGCAAGGGCGTTACGTGAAGAAGGAAATGAATTGTTTGCCGATGGAAAATATGCAAATGCAATGAAGAAATTCAACGATAGTTTGAGATTAGCTGAAAATGGTAGCGAAGAAGTTGGACTGGCGTATGCAAATCGGTCGTCGTGTTTTCTCCACATGAAATTGCTTGATGAGCGCATGGTTGATCTGAAATTGGCCAAAAAATCAAATTACCCTACACATTTTATGCCTAAATTAGAAAAACGAATAGCTCAATGCACGGTTTTGCTGAAAAATAAACAATTGAAGTCAAAATTCGAGGTTCATGAGCCGACATTAAGTTTTGTTGAGCATACAAAATTCGCCGGTGTGACCGATTGTCTGGATATTTGGACAGATGATGAATATGGACGCCATGTCATTACTACACGCGATCTCGAAGTCGGTCAAACGATTCTGGTGGAAAAAGCTTTCTCCATGGTTCCAACAAAACGGATGAACATGGGTCGTGATCGCTGTGTTAATTGCTTTCGAGAGTTTAAAATCTTTATTACGTGTGAAAATTGTATCAACAGTCGATTTTGCTATGACGGATGCATGGAGCAATCAAATCACAGCCTTAACTGCAATCTACCAACACCTCAAGCACAACCTCAATTGAGTCAACTAGTTTTAGAAATTTTATTCAAAGCCAATGAAGCGTTTCCCGATGTTGATATTTTGATGAAAACAGTGGACACATTACTCAACGGTGAAGAAGCCATTGGCTTAACAAACGTCATCCAAAGGGAATTTCGCTTCATTTTGCAACTGACTTCGAATCATGGAAAACGCTCTGATGCACAAATCGACCAATTGCGCAACGTGTGTGCCA